TAATGTTTTGAAAGTGGTGCCACCTTTACTTTGCAAGAATGGGAATAAATGGGCCTCATCTTGTTCATTGAGACAGTTATGAAAACATCACTTGATTTACAGGGGAGTAGTGGTGTGGTTTACTTTTCTATACCATATATGGTCATACTACATCTAGAATTTATGATGTTCACTTTTGATGCCACTGCTTTCTGCCTGTGAAGAAAAGCTACAGACCAAATAGACGAAACTGAAAGTACTTAATTTCCTCCAGGCCTCTTTTCTTTCTTTTCTTTGCGTAAAATTTTTCTCAGGTATTTCCCAACATGGTAGTAGAATTCTCATATAAAGATACTGATACAGAGAATTGTCAAATGCTTTCCTTTCCTTTACGAAAATCCATCAGAAAAACTGTTTGTTACCCCCCTCAAAAGATGATTTATAGAGGAACAATTATATGTGTAGCATGATCTCACCAAGTAAGGGATTTCCTATCTCTCTTCTTATTCCAGAAAGAAATGTATTTGTACAGTTCATTATCTTTATGAATCAAAGTGTACAATGGTGGTGAGGTTTTCTACATTGATCTAGAAAGTAAGAATAGGAGAGAATTATAGCAGAACACATTCTTCTTGGTAGCAGGAGAAATGGAAAAACCTAGTTTGATGCAAGACTTTCTCATGGGGATTATCTCAGATCTAACAATGTGACTGAACTCATATTGCAAAATTTCCATTCACCAGAAGGAACTAAAGGCATCTTCCCTGTATCTGGTTGCTTATGTTCACAATACTCTTAATGAAAGGATATCTTGGAGAGCTTTACCACTCTGTCTCATTTGGTTTTAATTAAACAATGTGATATGAAGGTCTGAGAAGGGAAATGACAAGCATATATCCTGTAAAACCAAGATTACAAAACTATAAGACTAGGCTAACTTTCTGCTGTCTAAGGATTTAAGTATTCAAGACACTGCATAGAATATGACAAGAGTGACTGAAATATTTGTGGTAAAAGTTAAACAACAGTACAGCAGTTAAGCACCATTTCTATGCAGCTACTGAGTGCAAACAAAACAATATTGGTTAATTGACATGTGGTGTATGACACACAATAGCAAAGCCACTTGATCTGCCATTTGTTTAAACTTTTCCCAATCTGTGTCATTCCTCATACAATTTTTATTTTCCTGAACACTTCTTGAACATGAATGCTCTATCTGAATTAGGAGATGACACATGCACACACACATGCATACATGTGCACACATAGCTATATAAATTATGTGGGATATCAATTTATTCTCTTCTAAGGGATGGCAGAGAGTCCCAGTTTGTGACTGTCTATCGTAGTAGTAAAGATTAAAGTGCACCACAATGAATTTACCAGACTAGATGCTTTTCAGCACCATTTGTGCTTTGGGGAAGAGTGCAGAGACAGGTTCAGGTTCTCTTCTATCTTCCAGCTACTCTGGATTGCCTAGGAGTATGTTACTAGTAATGAAAAAAAACACATTTATATGGTTTTATGGGCATCTAATACATTACCAGTTTTCATTAAAAAAAAAGGAAAAGTCATTTGTTCAAAGCATCAGAGCATATAAAGATGGTGAAATGTCAAACTAAAACAAATCTGAATTCCATGCATGGTAGAAAAATAATATATTACCAACAAAACTTCCCGAAATAAAAACATACTGTACAGTCTCATATACATGCAAAAATGGTTAAATATAAAAAGAATGACAAATGTCATGGCAAATGTCTAATGTTTCTACAGTTGGCAATATCCTTTCCTACGTCATACTAACTACTTGGAAGTAAAAAAAAGCAAAGAGAAAGACATTGAGATCAAGCAATAATAACTTGTAACAAACAGGAAAGATCTAGGTCTGAAGTTTCTTGAAATTTATGGCTCACGTAATGAAAGGTTTAGGTTTGTTCCATTCAAATTTCAAGGTAAGAATCACCTGAAATTTCCTGACATGTCAGATTTCCCAGAAATGCTTGATGTCAAATTCCATGTTATTAATTTTTATAAAATTTCTCATAGGAAAGGATCTCATTTCATATGCTTCTGGAAGTCAAACTATTATAAAGGAAACTCTATAGGATTTCCTTAATGTTTGAAGTTTTGAAAAATAAAGCTAAATAAATGGATTATTTTATACTTTACCAAAACACTTGCCGAGTGTTGTTAGTATCATACTGTTCCCTGATCTCATGAGAGCTGACAGATCTTAGAATGAGAGGAAAAAATAATTGCCTCAGAACAACTGAAGGCAGAATTACATTTCCTTCAGTTTCCAGGAAGCTATTCTGAGTAATAGCAAAACAGAAAACTGCACAAAACCAATAAAAATTCTCATTTCACGGAATAAATCCTAGAATATCTGCATGAAAGTGGGTAGTCTGGAGAGTACTTGGGCTACACAAAACCAAACCTGCAGCTGTTATAATTAAGATTGAGTCAGCCAAACTACTGAGTCCCAAACTTCTGTCTTCTCAGATTTTACAATATTTCTCGTCCTTGACCTATATAGGGTTGCCACCCAAGGTAGAGTGCCATAAAGGAAATATAATACTTATTCAGGCAATAAACCATTTAATGTAAACTTGCTCTCTATCTCTATCACTTTTTCATATTGCTGGGAAAATCATAGTTATGACTCATTGTTTTGATGACATGAACCTGCTGCATGACCATTTCCGCTAAATACCCCTTCTTGTTTACAATGTGTCTATCAAGAATCTATAATAATTTTCATAAATATAACTTTTATAATAAATACACTAAAATGGGCTTTATATAACTATATTAAAGCTAGTTCCATTATTTCAGTCAGCTAGTCTTGATGCTTTAAAGTGTACATTTTGTCTGAAAGATATTTTTTTTGAAATTGTGATGAAATTACATAAATATTTTTGGGAAAAAAAAGATAAATTAATCAGGATTTTTAAGAACTCAGAGCAAAACTTTATTTTAGAAACTATATTTTTCTTTAAAATGCGTGTAATATGGCTCTTCAAATGGATTTAAAACCCTGGAAAAAAATGAGGTTTTATTTCAGAGAGAACTTCATGGATTGCTTGTTGGGGGTGAGAGTATGCATAATGATTCTATAATACGTTGTTTATAAACATATTTAATTTTCTATTGGCAGGTTCTTGTTCCTTTTTGCTTATTCAAATGAATGATAGCTCAGATTTATTAATAGGCTTGTGAGGGTGCAACATTCAGAATCCCTTTGAACATAGAACTTTATGTCTTGATTCTAGAGTGGAAACTGTTGAAACATTAATGTTGCTCAACTGTATACCACAGCATTAATACAGATATAACCTATAATAAACACGGAGAAAATATAGGCATCAGATACTGGTAAGCGATGAGCATGTATTTAAAAGTATTCACCTCGGGTCCTGTGTGCTGTTTTGAGTGCCACAGCATAAAGAGAGAGAGCATCCAAAGAATGGCTATGAAGATGGGGAAAGCTCTGGAGGGGAAGCCATACCAGGAGCAGCTGAGGTCACTTGGTCTGTTCAGCCTGGAGAATAGGAGGCTGAGGGGAGACGTCATTGCAGGCTACAATTTCCTTGTGAGGAGAAGAGGAGGGTCAGACAGTGATCTCTTCTCTGTGGTGACCAGTGACAGGACCCAAGGGAATGGCCTGAAGTTGTGTCAGGGGAGGTTTAGGCTGGATATTAGGAAAAGATTCTTCACCCAAAGGTGTTTGGGCACTGGAACAGGTTTCCCAGGGAAGTAGTCACAGCATCAAGTCTGCCAGAGTTCAAGAAGCACTTGAATAATGTTCTCAGGCACATGGTGTGATTCTTGGGGTTATTCTGTGGAGAGAGAGGACATGGACTCAATAATCCTTGTGAATCATAGAATCATAAAATATTCTGAGTTGAAACTCAAGAATATCCCTTCCAACTCAGGATATTCTATGATTTAATGATTCTGTGATGTATCTTGTGATCAGTCAGTTCAGATACTCTTGAATTTAGGAAATGTTCCCATGTAGATCCAAACCTGCTCAGCAGAGCCTTTCCATATGCTGTTTAAAAGCATCTGCAGACAGAAAAAACTTAACTATTTTTTCTGCTACTGTGAGCATCAGCACTGACTGGTAGATGATGCTTGGTGTCTGAGAGAAACATTCAGTCTCTCCCCATGGCAGGCTGCCTGCTCCTTCTGTGAGGAGGTTTTGAAGCATATCCTGGCAGGATGAAAAGAGCTGTTACAGAAACTATATTAAGAAGTTGTAAATCCCAGGCATAGCTTGATAGAGGGTACAGAGTTTAGGTGGATGAAGCTTTTCAGCTTCAGGTTTCCAGCTCCTGTTTTGATGGTGAGCTCCAGTGAGCAGTCATTTCTTCCACACTGTGCACTCCTGTAAAGGAGGCCAGAATCCTGTCCCCTTTCCCGTGGATGAAACTAGAGCACAGTGGCTGAACTAGATACTCTGCTTATTCTCTATTCTCTCCGGTGAAGAAAGACAAGGACCACAGGTGTCCTGAAGCATCTACAGTTGCAGACCTCCATTTAAACCACCCTGAAGCAAAACTGCAGATGTTTTAACCTACACTGTTTCTATAGTTTCCTTTTAGCACCTTATTATACAAGTTAAATGCTTTGCTGTCCATTTTCAGGAGCTAATCTCAACCTGTTTATGCAGTGGGAAAACTACTGAAGAGACTGATTACAACTATAAAAGTTTTATTTTGACATGCAGGAAAGCAGAGAAGGGTTCATCTAAGTTGAGAGTCCAAGGGAATGTCTCACATCCAACCACCACTAGTAATATGAAAAATGACTGTCCAAGGCAATTAAACAAAGCATTACAGGAAGAGAAATATAATCTTTACTTTTTTTTTCTTTTTCAGAACCACACAAGAAAGAAAAAACGATGGAATCTGGTGAATATTCTCTCCTTTTTATCTTACCTTTTAACTATCCTAATGTTTTAAATTAAATAATGTCAAAAGTCAATATTCGATTTTTTGTTTGTTTTTACAGCCAAAACAACAAAGAGAGAAGTAAAAGTACATGGTAAGACCTGTGGAATATTGTAAGTTTTAGAGTCTCATTTATCTGGTTTGATTTTCAGTCGAGACAGGATTAGGTAGAAGGATAAAAAAAGTAATACCATAGATAAAGATTCGCTGGTTTAATAAAAGTAACTTAAGCCATTTGGTCTTCTGGAACTGAGATCTGATCAAATGCTGTTGAGGAGCACAAGAGGTTGGTAATTCTTAATTTCAGCTTTTAAAGGGTTTGTCTTTTCAAGGAAGGGGGCTTGCTTAAAAGTTACAGTAAATGGATGAAGAAACAAAAATAAAATATAAGATTCAGAGCGTAAAAGGGAGGAAAAAAGTAGATTGTTTAATATGTTTTTATTCCAAACACCCATGCATTTTATTGGTTTATTTTAGAGCAGCTAGATGGTCTTATTTCTGACTGGAATCCACTTCTCAAGTTTATCCAAATCTGGGAGATCATAAAGATTTTCAACTCCTTTTACAGCTAAGCTTGATGACTCATTCGTCAGATGACTCCATTTTCTCAGACAGAAATTCTGAGCAAGAAATACCTACAATAGACAGCCAATTTATAGAAAAATGAATCTGTTCTTTTCTAATGCATAAAAACTTACCACAGTGCATCAGAATGAAGGTATGAATAATGAAGAAAGAGAAATGTGGTAGTTCAATTAATTTGGATTTAGTTAATGTAATTATGATGAATAATAAATTATCTGAAAAAAACATATTTTCGAGGAAGATTTGCATAACTGGATCCTCCTCTGTATCTGTACTAGAAGTTTTCAATAAAATAAAAAAAAAGGAGAAAAAATCCTTATCTTCTGCTAAATTACTAAAGGTGTCAAAAGATTTCTATCTTATACCCTCCACCTCTGTTTAATATGTGCTCATTCTGAAACCCATATCGTTCCTTTTCTCGTTCACATTATTAAAAATAGTGGAGCTATTTAAGCTCCATACATAACTTATATATTGACCTTGTTTTCCACTGCTCTTAATCTGCAGGTTAATGAGTCATCTGCCATAAGACTATCCAAACAAGCAATGTGTGTGTGTCAGTTTTTCCTACATAAAAAAATGAACTCCTGCTTCTGCATAGATAGCATAGGTAGCATATTGACCAAGAGAAGAGATGTTAGGATCAGTCTTAATTTCTTTATTCCTTTACAAAATTAGTGTCTGAGAATTTTCTTTCGTTTTATAGCATCTGTGCAAAATCCGAAGTTAAAAGGTGGGTAACTGTGTTTGGTTTTAAAGTAGAAATGGAAGAAGATTGTTGTTAACTTTACTGTTAATGGAAAAAGCTTCTTGTGAAAAGAAGTTGTTAACAGGTGTGACATTTAAAACAAACAACCTTTTAAATTATAATGGCTTCTTCCTTGCAGCACCTCAAAGCAGGTGCCTTTTCCTAGAGTTATTCATAGACTAACTGTCAATCTCCAACTATATCAAATTCAATTTCTAATCCTAACTCAAACCATCAGGCTTTTGTGAAAGGCAGAAAGGAGAAATAACCAGTCTTCTATAGAGACATGACACAAAGAGTAATATTTCTGTTTCTGTCAGTCCTACTGCAACACAAACCCAGTGACAGAAGTGTTGTTTTCTTTAAGGAATGGAGTTTTACAGGGAGGTTCAGTGAACCAGATTTTGCCTTCCTTTTACACTTGAACTGTTGATGACAGAAGGGGGGAGGTGTGAGAGCATCAGTGCTTGCTTCAAAGGTTGCTCCTTTCCACAATGCACAGGGAACTGGGACTGGTGAGAAACGTTAAGGACATAAGTTCAAGTTGAGCAAATATGGAGTTGTTGACATCAGTGTCTGACTTTTTGCATATGTACAATGCAAAATACTAGCTCCAAATTGCCTTCAATAACATAAAAGATTTAAGTTGTAACCTAAACACAAATGGAAAATGGAATGCCAAGTTACAAGCGCCCTTCACTCTCGATCCATGTTTATTCATATCAATGACCACCGTACTTTATAAACTATCTCTTTCAAACAAATGGAACTGCATGTATCAACTGCTTAGCCTTGTAGACTGTTGTCTCTGAGCTGTTCACCACAAGTGGGGAAATGTCCCAGTTTAATACCCTGCTATCATTCAAGCATCATCTTTTACTTAGAGTTCACCTCCGAAACCTCTTTCATGTTAACCAGTAAATACTGACACAAGTAGTCAGGTTGCACTGCAAGAGAGTGCTCTTCTGGAGCATGAGGTTGCAGAATCACAACTGTGGAGATTAATGTAAGGAAATCAAAGTTGATACATTATTCCCTTTATTGGATGTTTTTTTAAGTTCCCTGCTTTATGGCTAAATTCATAATGTTGTCATTGCTCTGCAGCTAATTGTATTGAGCAAAACAGGAACCAGAGTAATTTAAGCATTTGTTCTCTTTATACTCCCACCAGACAAAACACAGAAACTAAAGGGAAAAAAATGTGGTATTAAGCTTTTGCATTTTTAGCAAATTCTAGAAAGCCAAAGCTGAATATAAAAGTAGTCTTGCCACTATGTGTGACTGAATAAAGGTTGAAAAAAGGTGGATAGCTTTTTAATTGCTTGAAGCCTCTGAATAAATTTTTTGATTTCTTCTGTAATGCTGCAGTATGCAGGAGTCATCAACATTTCAATATCTGTGAACCCATTTCTGTCAAGCCTGTGACCACCACAGTCTGAAAAGAAGTGAAGCAATTATTTCTTGCAAAATTAAGTCCCTTTCAGTGAACTTGAAGTTTTCTTTGGCCACTTTTGGAATATGTTGTCACATACCTTTTGAAATTGTTATCCCAATGATGGTATTGGCCCTTTTATTAAATGCTACTTTATTTAGGTCACTTGTAAAGTTTATAAATAGAGTTAGCAGGGGTTTTCAAACTACAGAGCATTTAACTCTATGCTTTATTGCTGTGAGTAACCTCATTTTTTTCATATTTCATATTTATTTAGATAAGAAACAAATATTTGCATATGCAATAGGTCTTCATCATGCCACCAGCATTTTGAAGGATGGAAGTGAACTCTTCCTTATGAGCTCCTGAATTAAGGGGCATTTGAAAAAAAACTTTTAGGAACTTCACAGTTAATTAAGGATAAATAGAAATTTTGGGTTTCGCTTATATAATACAAGAATAATTCTTCTATTTCTGTTGTCAAAAGAACAGTCTCACAGCTGAAAGTGTTGGTCTCAGCTATCTTAGTTGTACCATAGGATGAACCTAATGTTGAACCTGAAATTATTCTCCAGTGTCTTAGTAAATAACAACTTTGTTTTAGTCTTCATTAAATAGAAATAACTGATTTTAGCTCTGGGGTAATTGTTGATTTCTTAAAAATTATTTGTTAACAAGTAATCTAAATTTAACTTTATGTTGCTAATTTTGAAACTCAAACATAGTCTATACTCCAGGGGAAAAATTGTATTTATAAAAAAATGTTACAGCTGTTTCTTTTGCCACTTAGTAATAATCACAAAGGAATGCTGTTATTTTCTTCTATATTTCTTGTGATGCAGACAAATTCTAGTATTGCTTATTTGCTATAACTTTCACTAAATCTAATCAAGATCATTGCTTTTCAATCCATATTTTTTTGTTCTTCCTTGATATTTATTTGTTTTTTTTCTTATTTTTCTGCTATTAATCCTTTTAGATGTAGCAGCTCTCTGAGCACAAAGTGATTTTCAATATTCAGTAGATGGTGACAAATTTTAAATTTTTAAGTACATTTTTGGAGGGCACACAGTCCTGTTCTGAAAACAAGCAAGTCTTTTAACAAAATTCTCTTCTTTGATAATTAAAAAAAAATAATCTCCTGACATAGAAGAAGGTCATTCCAATTAGCTTGTATTTTTGAAGAACTATCAAACTCATATGGAGTTTTCTTTCATTTTCTCACAAGCCACTACAGCATGAATTTTTTTCATTTCTCCATATAACAGGAACAGTTCCTAAACCATAATATACATTTCTTAAGTTAATGACCTCTTGAATTAGTGAGATCACGATAAGGAGCCTCTGACCTCAGGGTTCAGTGAGTGAAGTGTTTGTTATTTCCAGTCAGAGTGATTTCTTTCAGCCTTCCTTCACACTGAGCAAATATCTCAAAGTATCTTTAAAATCAGTGACATTTTGGTATGCATATTTCTGCTGTGGATGCTAGTTATGCAACTTGACTCTTTCGGGATAAAAATATTCCGGTGAATTTGATTGTAGCCTACAACTATTGAGAGTGCAGAAATATTTGACTGATGAATTGCTCTCCTGGACACTTTCAGCATAAAACTGAAAGTATCTGCTGAGTTGTCTCTCATTTGATTTCTAAGAGCTTATGATGGAATCAGAGAAACAATTACCAAATGAATTACCCATTTGATCCACATTATGCCAAGTTTTCAAGAATTTTACTGAGAAATAGCAAAAATATAAACAGGCGTTTCACTCCATTTACTTAATCTATTTTTTGAAAACATATCTTACTGAAAACACGGATCTCTGGCAAATTTCTAGTTTTACCTTCATATGCATTTATTTTATTTTGTATTGTTTCAGGCAGGGTTTTTTTGTGTTTTTTGGTTTGGTTTTATTGGGAGGGGGTTGAATTTCTTTTTTTTTTTTTTTAATGCCTGATATTCTGCTGAGGAGAATATGATACCTTATAACACATTCATTTTACTTAAGTCATATGGCTAAAGGATCAACTTTTCAAATAGGGAACACCTGCAACAGGACCATTTTTTACAAAGAGATCATCTTTCAGGCTGCAATTCAAAAGTGTCATGAACTTTGAAATTGCCCAGTGGAAGGGATGACATCTTAAGCTATTTAGAAAACTTGTCACTGTTCTGATAGAAACAGAGTTGGAGTCTTATTTTAAACACCGAATATGCGTGCAGGCTTTCTATTTATGTATACTGTCAAAGTGACAACTATTACCTTGATGATAAAAGACCTCTCAGCATTACCAAAGCAGCTCACACCTTCCTTGTTTAAAAGCAAAGAGAATAATGGAATGTCCTCTTTGTCCTTCCAGATATTGCTCTGCCATGTCCAGATGATGCTACTTGGCAGTTCCCAAAAGTTACTCAAGCTCTGTTCTGTCTCAGCAAGTTCCTCTTTACTAACACTCACTCAACAGAAGTGAGCGCACTGATGCCCAGAATACTATAGTACAATAGTACTAGTTTTAGTAGACTCAACATTTCTCAAGGATGGCTGGTTCCTTCATCATAACCATACTCATGGTCTACCCCCACCACACAACTTTGATGACTCTAAATACCTGATCTTCTTAGAGAGCCATCTAGCTCTTCTAGCCTGCAGTTCAATAGTCAGAAAATGCTTTTACTCCATTATTATTCTGGTTTTAGAAACTTTACAAACCAAAACTGCTTTCCTCTTAGCTAAAAAGCACAAACATGTTTTGGAGAAACAAAGTTCTCAATAACTCATTTTACTCTTATCATAGGTGCTTTCCCAGCTTTAGATACTAAAATGTGTTTTGGAATACAAATGGGACATGTTTCTGGTGGCACTTTTTATATATTTCTCTCCATATTAAAATAAGCTTATTCTTCAAGATGTTGACCACTTCAGTAGGATTTTTAGAAGCACTGTGATATCAATTTGCTCAGTGGCAGGGCTCAGTGCTCAGACTCACCTAGTTCATTGTTAATACAAGTAGCACTGCTGATCTGGGCCTAAGTAACATGGATGTTAATAGCAGAGATATACAATACATATTAAGGGACTTTGCTCCTCTTCAGCTTTCTATGTGTCTATGAACACCAATACAAAATTAGGTACTTGGATAGAAATGGAATACTCTTTTTTTTTTTTTTTTGAGGATTGAGTCAGACATTTTTCAACCTAGACTCGATTTTCAAGGTAACTGAGGTGCAGAAGTGCAATATTTCACTGTTTACATGAAGCTTGCTCACAAACACACACACATCTCACAGCATCCTGGGATAAACAAGAGCAAGTGGCAAGGGAGTGATTGATATCTGTGAGTTGGTCCATCCCACTCAATGTGAAGCAGTTCATCTGTCCATACTTGACATTTCACTGAGTCTCAGGATTCAGGGAATATGGGAACAGATCATTCTTTTGGCCTCCAGCCCACCAGAAGACATTGCAGACAGGCCATAATTTACTACCTGAGCTGATCTTCTTGAGCCATCATGCCCAGCAACTTCAGAATGCTTCCCTGCTGCCTGGACTGCAAGCCTGGCCCCAGAGGCACCACCAGGACATCCCTTCAAAAGTAGTGAGCACATATGGAGGCTCTTCACAGGTCCTTTGAACTCCCTGACTTTCCCAGCATAAATAATGGTAACAAAACATGATCCTCAGAATTTACCTTATCTCTAGAAGGCAAACTCTTAATTTTCAACTGTGACTTGTTGCAAGAAACCATTTTGCTAAAAATATTTTTTTGCTTGACAGGTTGACATAACAAGCTGAGAGGTTGTTATATGCTAATACCTCTGAAGCTGCAAAGACATTTCTACACTTATCAGATGTAAATTAATTTTTTCTGTCCACTTTACATCCTGCCACTTACGCTGATTGTCTATTCTTTGCACTATTTTTAAATAAGGCAATGACAGTGAAGCTTATTTTCTTAATGCCACATGTTTTTTTGTCTCAAACACTCTAAGAGGATACATTTTTAAATTAAAGCAAGGCTTTTCACTTAGCATAATAGTCATAAATTATGGCTATAAAAATTTGGTTCCACGAAAGTGAAGTGTTGGCAGTGCCATTTATAGCTAAACACATATATTCATAGGTATGCAAAAACATAATCCTGAATAATTCAATTAGAAAATATGTGGTTTGTCCTAAATACGTAATCTTGTACATTGCCAAAACTGCAATGTAAATTGTCAGAAACTATAAAATATACCCATATTTCCTAAGAGAGCAAAATCTGAAGGGATTCCTTCTTGCACCACCTCTTTTTAGATAATTTAATCCTTAGTGTGGAGCCATGAACAAATTATCTCTGTCCCTTGTCTCTCAAGCTGTGCAATTGAATTAAGAACTGTGCAAGGTGAAGCTTGTGAACAAGCAATTGGATATGTCCAGGCATCCTGACCTGTTACAACTGCTTCCCCTAGCATCAGTAAAGGTCTAGCAGCTCTGCTGCACAAGTGGTCTGGTTCGCGTGTCTCTCTCGTACGCAGAAGTCTCAGTATTCATAAGGATCAAGTTAGGTGTCATAATGTACAGCCAATCTGTGGCCTGCTATCCTCACTGAGACTAACAACATGCTTAAAATTGCGAATACAGGGAAATATTTTGCTGTGTTAGGGATGCAGAGTGGAGGTTTCTGTTGGAGCAAACAGAAAACCATGCTTGCTTGGGGAACCCTCACAAAGTAAAAACCTGCTTGTTTTTCTCCCTTCTCCATTACACAATATGTGCTGCAGTTTAGCATCTCTTTCACCTGACATCATAGAATCATAGAATCATAGAATGGTGTGGGTTGGAAGGGACCTTAAAGATCATCTAGTTCCAATCCCCCTGGACTGGGCAAGGACACATTCCACTAGACAAGGTCTAGAAGAAAATGCTACTATTTATATTCTAAAAGGAAAAAAAAAATTACCCTTTTTCAGGCAGGTAAAAGATAGCTATTATGTATTCATATACTGGAGGGGGAAAATCTCATCATTGTATTTAAGAAGAGCTTTTTCTGATGTAGCAACATTTCTGATTAAATCTTACTTAATCCATATCTTTTATTTGCATCAGGACCTGAAAAGAAGGAAGTAAAAGCAACAAAGGCAACAGAGCAAGGTAAAAAGAAAAGCATGTTGGCATTATCTTTCTTAAAAGACAATAGCACAGAAACAATAACCTCAGATTCAGAGAGCTGGATGACAGTAACCTTTAAATCCATTGCTTTGAGAGTATTTTTCAGGGCTTTGCTGTGTTTATCAGAACAACAGGAAATTTCCACTATGAAACTGGCTTTGTCCCACTTCCACAAAACTGTAACCCCAATAAAAGGCTTCAGGTGCCTGCTTCAGCTTAAAGGTTCTGTGTTGCAACTTTGTGTCCTGCCAATCCTGCAAGAGGCTTCCTGGCTCTGCAGCCTGGGCAGGGATCAGCCTTTGCTATTTAGTCTTAAAGCATAAGTCACAATGAGGTAAAGGTGCAGAGGCCCCCTAAAGTCAGCTGAGTTGCCCTTCCTGTCCCAGATGAAACATTAGCCCCATGAAAAGTCACAAAGGTCCACTTTACAGAAACTCAAAAGCTTGTGAGACCTGACCTTCTAGAAGTTTTTCACGAAAAGCTTAGGATTGGTATGGATGAGGCTTGAGTGGGAATGTCTGAGTGGGAACACTAGAAGAAAGCCTACAAGAACCTCACATGTTGATGGTGCATAGTTCAGAGGGACGCAAAGTCTGCATACAGTATCCCAAAACAACCAGAGCAGGAACACCAAGGGACCACCTATACCCAAGCTAAAACAAAACTCAAACCATCGAGTGATGATGGTGAACATAAAAAGAGAAGGATTGAAGCCTTAAACCATCGAGATAAATATGTGTCTTTTCCCATCATATACACTTAGATTTTTTGTTATTATTATTACTTTCAGCCTTATATCCTGCACACTTGCTTCTTGTATGCTTGTTAAAAGCAATCCTACTTTTTTAGTTTAGTATGGTAAGGAGCAGGGTAAAAGATTAATGTAAATACCCAAACCTTATCAACCCTGACTTCCTTAATGTGATACACATCTTTGTCTATTGTATTTTATTACTAACAAGCTACCAAGGTGATTTTTGTATTTACTTATGCTCAAATTGGCAGTTAAAACCCTGATGATGAACTTGCCAGTAACCTTCAGAATAAGGTCTGAGACATACTTACTGATGTAGCTTTGGTCAGATGAGCTATTATCCCTTTCTTTTCTCCAGTTTCTCAGCTTGTTTTCTTCAGCATTACTCAAGCCAGCAGAGATACCCTGCAGCAGCTGTCAGCAGCTTGATAGTTGTCATGGAAAATGTTATAATTAGGTGGGCCTTGGCCTACATTTCAGTCATTGTTAGTCTGAGTATCTCCACACTGTTTTCCACACAAGTACTTACTTACCAGCCATCTACATTGCCTCCCCTCTGTTTGGCTATCTGATGCAACAATGAGGTGTGTGATTGCTGCAAGATTTGTCCTTTCTACAATGTACCACCATTAGATGGGACTTTGTCTGCCAAATACTTTGACTGTGCCATAAAGAGCACAGACTGAACAGTACAAACTTTAGTTTCACATGATTGGCACAGAGCAGAGATTTCTAAACCACAGGTTGTGGTTTAGAATTCAAAAGGGGGGCAAATTCCCCAAGGAATTCAAAAGGGGGGTAAACTGTTTCCCATGACAGCAGTCAGCAGCAGCAGAACTATCTCTCCATGCCAGCAGCATCTAGTCTCTCCAAGTCAAAGGAATAAGAGCAATGTGTAATGTCTGTCACAATTATTTCTGCAGCTACTTTTGTGTACTAGCAGCTGCTCAGTTCCTCTGATGCACAGAAGTGAACATAAACACTTTCAGGCAGCAATTGCCTCTGAGTCTTACTTCTGCACCCTATATGTATGAAGCTACTGCCAATACATTGATCACTCAAAGACAAACAAGTCCAATAAACATCCAGGACATTTTTTGAACATCAGCATGCACTAATCATACTTCTCACAAAGGATTATTGTGCATCAGGATACATTTCAAAAAGTAGAGATTCAGACCTAGACAAAATTGGGATTTGTAATCCGAGAAAAACACTATAAGAAGACTTGCAGAAAAATCTGGAGTGTTGGCAGCTGGATTTGCTTAGCAATCAGAACACAGCTTCACTGTTTCAAACATGAAGGTTTTAGTGATCTACCAATCTATTGCAAATCCCTACCTCTGGAAGTGGGCTGAAAGGTTGTAGCAACATTTCAGTTCATTGATCTTCTATTAGTTGTAAAGCAAAGTTGTATGTAACTTTTTTAACTGTTAAAAGGTGAGTAAGAAGGCACTTAACTTTAACTCTTTGTCCTATGTGTTTGAAAAATGACATGAGCAAATGTCAGACGGTAGCCAGGGAGTTACTGCCTGTTACTGAGAATTAATATTTAAAAGTCATGATGAAAAGGCAAAAATTCTTTTCTTGTGATATTCAGTAGTACTAAGAAAGGAGACTATTGCCATTGGTTAAAGCACATCATATGACACTGGAGGTTTTCACACTCTTGTTGCGTGTATACAAGGCAGGAGATGGGAAACATGAACTTTATTCACATACACTGTCAAGCAACAGCGGAGTAGAAATCACTCTCAACACATATTTAAGCACTTAGGGTCAGCATGCACTTAAATACATTTTCATTGGCTGATTATATTAAAAATAATTTCCCGTGTGAACATGCATTCTAACATTTCCTTTTTCTTTTCTCTCTTCACTTTTGTTTCCCTTCCCTTCTCTTTCCTCAGATAAACCAAAGATGAAACATGGAAGTAAGCCGTATTTTATGTATTGCATCTCCCTATAACTGAAAAAGTGATTTCAGATCTATAAATAATAAAAAAAATAATAACTCCTGGTGCTAGTCAGAATTGCAGATTATGATTGATTAGACAGACTAAAAGTGATACAACATAGCTGATAATAGTAATAATGCATATGTTAAGAAATTCCTATCTGTTTATGCCCAAGAAGTTTCATCCCAATATTGCACATTTTTCCTGGACAAAAAGAAGAGACTTATGAAATACCAGTACACAAAAATATTTATAAATTTTATATTTATTATTTTACACAAAAAATTATTCTTTCCACACTTCCTATGCTCACTATAGGTGTCAGTCACATATTCTGATTTCAATATGAGCTTACACTGCAAATCAGCACAAGGCTTTTGACATGGGATTTGTGCTACATGTTGTCATTTTGTCAAGTTACAGCAGACTTTCTAATAGACCTTGATGAGTTCAATCTTACAGAATTTACTGGGATTTACTTACAGTTTAAATTCCCATTTACAGGTCAATGCTGTTTCATTTCTTCAAATTCTTCAGCAGCACATGTGTCACATGCCACAATGTCTAAAAAACCATTTTTTTTTTCTCCTGAAGATGACAACTACCTCTGAAGCACCTTTCCAAATGTTTCCTTGTTTGGGATCACGTGGGACTTCAAGCTTTGTCAACAATGACTTAAGCTTTCAGCACAGAATTGTTTAATGTTCTCTTTATCAAAATGCGTCATTAAAGTAAAATCTTCCACAACAGCTTGAGTAACTATGTTACTAATAATGGAGGTGCACAGCAACTTTAAGTTCTTACAGGCAGACTTCTGAAAGTAAAGGCTTTATATCATGCATAAAGTAGCTTATTTTGGCTGGAGGTCTGCCTTTCACTATCCTCTTTCTTTTTGTAGACACTATTGCACTGAACATGGAATCTCTTGGGAATTTTGCATGACTCATGAGCACAGAAGAACAAGTTTTTCAGTCTTCCCACTGAGTTTTCTTTCTGTTTGCACAGATTTCTGTTATTAACTTAATATTTAAAAAACGACATCGATATTTTATTAAGAATTTTAGAGATACTGAGTTCCACTCTATATGATTCACAGATATCTGCAGTAAATAGTTTATTTTCTCACTTTGAAAACAAGTGACTGAATTGTACTGATGAGTACAAAACATGAAGGTCAAAGCAGGACAGTAGTATTTTCTGAAGCAGATGTCTGGGATGTAGTAAGGAATAGAAGAGACAGGGTTTTTACAATAAAATTACACTTCTGACCTTGTTTAACAAATTTCTTTCCCAAGTCTTCTACTTTAAAAATCATATTGTCTGGAAGTATTGTGTATTGCCTATTTTGAAACAAAATGTAGAAGGAGAAAAATAATGAAACATTTATTTCTTGATGTCAGTTCCAACACATTTTGTGGACTGAACTTTCTGGATAGAAAAAGGTGAATTTGGTACAAATCTCCCAAGAACTCAGTTTTTTACCACATCTTCCAATATACAGTTTTAGTCTCTCATATGATCTAGATGCTTCATTTTCTCTTATAGTTAAATCTTATAGTTGCACTCAGTTATGGCTTCTAACTGTCACTTTATCAGTGTGACTGCTTCTTTTACAGATCCTGGAAAAGAGAAAGAATTGAAATCTCCAGCAGCTACAAAAGATAAAGGTAACCTGGCAGAACAAATTTGTATATAGCTCTAAGACCTTGAAATGCACTGCACATTTTGGTTTTAGAGTATAGTTTAGTTAGGAATTCATGTGCATAATATTATTTCACTAAATTTACTGTGAAACTTAATTGGCATTACCTGGATTAGAAGTGCAAAGAGAGTCCTGGTAACATCTGTATAAAAACTGGCAAGTCCAAACTTAGAATTTAGGAAACTTGGTAACATTTATTACAAGCTGCCAAGTGAAATAAGTTTTAGGTGATTTTGTCTTTCATCAAACTTAATAAAAATTGTGGTTTCACTTTGTGAGCATGCTAAAACTTATGAAAATTAGTTTTGTTCTACACATTTAATTGGTATCTTGTGTCAGTTAGAAACCATCAACTATTCAATCAATCATTACCCCAGATGTATGAGATGTTAACCTTTTATCACTCTAGTTATTATTTTTACAGCACATGCTAAAGAAAAGGAAGAAAAGAATCCTACATTTTTAAAAGAAAAAGGTAAGACTACAGAATAGAATATAAAACTTGCTGAAAACCTCAAGAAAAGGAATTAAGGTGCTAATTTTAAAATAATCATTATCAATCTTTCTCACTATAAATCCCAACCAATCAAAATTTAATTGGTTAAAATATTCTACAGCATTTATGTCATGAAAAAAGTGGGAAGGGGAAAAAGACAGAATATGGTGAGCCAATTAACATTTGAAAGTCTCAAAATTAATTAAATAAATATCACAAAACTATTACTCTGGGTAATAGTTAAGAACCTTCAGAAAACCTTCCTTGTCTGAACAATGCCAGTTCTTTAATAGGAACCAGTTAACAAAGTCTCAACTGAATCCTTGCATAAATCTCTGGATATAGTAGGAATAAAGTAAAGTTCATGAATATATGAGTAGGAAATGCGCTTTCTGGGCTCTGTGAAAGCTATAGCTAAAAACCCAGAGCTTCATCTGGTCAACCATCTTCAACATGAGAGATGGCCCAAATCTTTTTGTGTTACTTATTTTTGTCAAACATTTCCCATGTATTGGTTTTTGTAATTTGGACAGCTAGATTTCCTTTCATCACTTGTTTTGTTGGGTGCTTTTTATTCATCTTATTTCTTTCCTCCTTATTACAAATAGCTTTATTTGAATGAAGTGAGTTATGGATAACTTATTTGACATGTTATTCAGGTACTTCAGAGTAAAAAGACCTACATTATATAGAAAGTTTAGTATTTATTCTAAGTTATGGTCTATAAGTATTGTAAGTCTATAGATATATAGATATAGTCTATAATATATAGATATAGTCTATATATAGACTATATATGGTCTATATTATACATATTATTATATATACAGAATACATATAGTATAATATATAGTATATATAGTGTATATATTTATATATATATATACTATATATACAGACCATTGCAGTGTGTGCTATGAATAAGCAGGTCCACAACTTCACAAGTGAGACTGGCAAGACGGCTTTATTATGGGCAAAATGTAAATGAATACAACTGAACAATTTAAAAGCAAGTAAAAAGAAGGTCCCAATATAAAATGGCCTCTGCCTTATATATGGTAGGGTAGAGAAGATGTAGAAGGCTAGAACAAAAGGTGGAGTTAAGACGGAGCATGTAAATTATAACCATAAAGGGAAAACATAACCATACATAGATAACTGCTGCAATGCACCAAATATTGACCAATAAGAAAATGGGGTTTACATACATGAGAAATAAGAAATAATCATCATCATCATGGCTAGGCTTCGCAAACGAAGATTTGGGAAGGGCTCTAAGCGCATTTGTTGCAAGTGTGCTGGTGGCTAAAAAGGCCAATACAAGATAGACATGTCCGATTGCAAAAGGCACAGCAGAAAGACTCCTTAGGTGGTATATTCTGCAAGGCACGATTCTTTCTGCGTTGTCTTTTCTCCTCAAGGGCGATCCTGCGTGCTTTCTCAAAAGCATCAGCAGCGTTATAGATGGTGTGTCTCCAGACCTCCCGATTGGAGGCCAGAGTAGACCAGTTATGTTGATCAATATGGCCAAGGCTGAGATGTTTCAGGGAGTCCTTGTATCTTCTCTTTGGGGCTCCTCTCATGCGGTAGCCAGTGGCAAGTTCACCATAAAGCAAGATCTTAGGGCGGCGGTGGTCCTTCATCCTGGAGACGTGCTCTGCCCAACACAGCTGTGTTCTCAGTAACATGGCCTCAATACTTGTGACTGCTGCTTGTTCTAGAACAGATGTATTGGTCACATAATCTGATCATGAAAGGATAATACAATAAAATATGAAATACAACATAATATAACATAAGACTTAAATACATATTCTCAAACTGTCTACAAAAGTCCACATCTGCTTATCTTTGTGAGGAGGAATGTATTCATCTTTTGGATATCTCCAACAGACTATAGTCTATATATAGTTTATAATTATTTTATCTGAGTTATAGTCTATAACTATTTAAGTTACAGTCATTCTATGCTATTTCAAACAAAGAACTGAATGAAGAGTTAGTTCAAGCAGTATTGAAAGATGAAAAAAATATGTAAAGCAAAGGAGGAATAATCTTATTGTTAGATGTATTTTCAAAATCCTAGAATCTATATTCATTCACTCCTTTATTCACAAATTTAAATTAAATTATAGCAGTCTTCAAATCCTGTGGTGCATACATTGTTCTTCTATGTCTATTCTACTCCTAATGTACACACACCCCACGTACATGAGCTTAGTTATCCGGACCAGAACTGTATACTCAACCTCTCTGGGGTCCTGTGGCCCTCTCCATGGACTACCTGTAATCTGTGGCTGCCTGTAATGATGGCATTGTGCTGGAAAATTAGAAGAGAGACTTGAGTGACAGCTCTGCTGCATCTTTCCCTGCATGGAACACATATGCTCAGCCTGATGCTCTTTTCAAAGGATTAAGGGGAGAGGGGGAGTAGAGAAAAAGAAAGAGAGAGAAGACCCAACATTTTTTTCTCCCTGGCAAGAATTTCTTTAGATCCAATGAAAAAGGGGTTTGCCAGCCCCGAACAAGCTTCCTCAGTGTGCCCTTTACTGAGTGCTCCCACAGCACTGCTTTTTATCTCCTGGGCTCATATTTAATGTATCAGCAACGTCAAATATTAAGTTATTTACAGGTCCTTCTAACGTGACAAAGGAGGTTAGACATTCTCCAACCAGCCTTCAGAAATGGGCTGGCAGGCAGGAATTTCTTTTAAATATCAAAGCGCAGGCCAAGTTATATCAAATTTCTTACATTTTGGGAAAACGAGACAAAAGTCTCTGTAAAAATTCCAACATGTTAATCAAAGTGTTACCAACCAGAGCTCCACACAGTCATCTAGGCCAAATGCATTACTGCTGCTGAGAACAAGATCTCGACCTGCTACTCAATGCTGAATACAGCCATAAATGCACCACAGGCTCCTTATACCCTGAAGTAGCACTGTTGACCAGCCCACCTGAGCCTGTCCCTCAGATCCTGAGAGCAGTTGCTCATGTAGCCATTGCTGTTTGCCACAATAGGCATCAAATCTTCAGAGTTTTGTACCTGTGTCTGAAAATGAAGGTGCTGATTAGTGAGATGTATAGCTCAGTTCAAAACATATTGACATCAAAGACTCCATAGGGAGAACTTATAAAGCTGTCTGTGAGAAACCCCTAGAAACCTTGGTGCCTTTCTGTGTGTTTTCTTATTGCATTTTGCCTTACTCTGCTACATAAACATATATTTAGCACTGTAAATCCCCCATTTCAGTCACCATATTTGATCAAACTGTAGTTCATAAATTAATCAAAGCCTTATTTGCATGTTTATTTGCATGAAGTCTTTCACCTCTCTATCACCTCTTCAAGCCTCATCAGTGGGCCTCTGTAGTTTATTAACCAGATCACTGGGGACTTCTTTTCGGTCCACAACTTGGTGTCTTATATAGCTCTTTCTTAAGTGGATGTTTTTGACAAATACAAATATTTTGAAGGACACAGGAAAGTAAGGATTTTTAAGACTGCATATACTTCCTAATCAGGTATCTTGGTAGTTTGTTACTATTCATGTAAACCAAATAAAGGAACACTTCTACATGAAGTGTTGAATATTTGGGGTGATTAATGTATGCCTGGCACCTTATGCACTAAGGGAGGCATTATTGTACCTCATTCTCTTTGATGGATGGGCTAAGGTTGAATGAACAAGGATGATGTCCAGACCAAAACCCTTATCATAAGGCAGACTATTTTTCATAACCTGAAGCATAGTGGTTTTATTTAAAGCAGAAAGAGGAAAAATAAATCCCTGAATCTAGAGTTATTGCTGGGATACTCTATAGATCACAACCTCAAAACATTGCATTATCTATTTTATGAGGTGAATAAAGTGTCTTCAGTCTTGGAGACTAATTTTATTGGCAGTAATTAAGGAGAACACTGGAATAATATATTTTCCATTGCCTTGTAATAAAGGACATCTCAAGACTCCATCTGAATTTATAACTAGCTTTTCATCTTTTTCCTGCAGTAAAGAAGCCCTTTTGTACTAAAAAATATAAAAGCTGATTTTCTCTTGACATAAGCATATTCAAAAAATTTGAGGCCAATGAAATTCTAAGGTATAATTTGCCAGGTGGTTTTTGGGTAGATAACTTATTTATTCAGAGTCTCTAATAGTGGCACTAAAAGCTCATGATATAGTATATACAACTCCTCACTGAGTTTTTCTAAGAGCATTATACTGAGATATTAAACTGAGAGCAGTTGTGCTGTACAGATAATGTAAATTCACTCTTACCCTATGGTACAGGATTTGTTTTCCAAACAAATGCTCCTCTTTTCTTTCTTCTTTGCTTTTGCAATGTTTTTGATATATCTTTGCATCTTTTCTTATATCAGCTATGCATGAATATGCATGTTTATTTTTATGCACAGATTGGTAGGGGAAATAAGTGAGTAGTGTGTATTTCTTTCTTGCCATATACA